GCCTGTGCTGCACAAAGCAACTGGAATTTAAGAAATAGCATGCATTAAGAGTGCCAAAAGCACCCTGAGTACCAGTTGGGGGGCTAAACCCATGAGAAGGGACAAGTGCGGTACCAACACGAGAAGTGGGAATTCAAATGTGCTAGTCTACGACTAGCTTTGAAAAGTAAAATTAGAGCCCTGAGCAGTAGCAAGCAGCTGGAACAGAGGTGACAGGATGAGCATCTCAACAGCAGGTTGCAATGCTCATGTAAGCAAACTCTACACTGCCAACTTCAGACCAATTACAACATAGCTACCTAGGTGTACCTGGCATGCACACGTTAAAAGACCTACAATTAAATATACTTTAAACAACCAGCTCCTGTAAAACTCTGCACCCGTATCTGAAGTGGACTATTAATCTGATTAAACCTGTGATTTAAGTTAATTGGCAATGCAGTAATTCAATGTAGACCAGTAAGAAGCTCAAGCTGCAGTAAATTCTCACCAAGAAGTCTACAGCATGACTAATTTTCAGGCAATCAACATTTCACTTTGTTTCAGGTGAAGAACCCACAGCCCAGCCAGCCTGATCTTGCAAAAGCATTGGGAGTCCTAGTACCAGATAGCAGATGTGCAACATGTTTTATCATTTGTTTTTTTTTAACCTCCTTAAAAGGCCTTGCTGAAGCACTCTGTACAAAGCTGCAATTGAGCTATTCATTGCTGATAAAGGCAGGCAAAAGAGGAGACTGAACTTTCTGATACCGCAGTGCTTGGCCTATCGGAATCCCAGTGCAGTGCATTTTTACCCCATAGTTCCTCCATAGGACAGAACCTCTCTGAGAGGCCCCTCAGAAAAAACCTGTCACAGTAATGCTTCCCATTTAAATGAATTACAGCAGCTTTACTCCTGTGGCAGGGCTGAGCTCCTCATTTCTAACAGTACACAGGGTCACCTTAGCACATTTTGTGATCGCTGTTCATTGTAGCAAAGGTGTTGCAACTGACCGGAAGGTTCATGCAATAAGTCTCAGAAATGGAGCCTAAGCATCGACTTAAGGAATAAGGGAATTGATATAAAAAAAACTTAGCAGTAATTAGAAATTTCAAAGTTATTTAAAATATCAGAGAACCTATTGCAGCATTGTTTTTTTAAAGAGTATTTTAACATTTTAAACCTCTTAGTATTGTTTAGGACAAGCAGAATCCCATAAAGTGGCTTACTCTGTTTCAACTGCTTTACGTCCAAGACAGCTGAAAACAGTGCAAGCTCCTATATATTCCCAGAGCATTTACCTTTACCTTACCTTTGTCTTTGTTAACCTTTCACTGCAAACTGGTCCCCGCAATCAGTACCTTAACAGTGGTCACTCTTCCGCCTGCCACATACATAGGTTTTTTTAAGGATTTTTCAGTTGGAAAGATTCAGGCTGCCCAGAGAGGTTGTGGAGTCTCCTTCTCTGGAGACATTCAAAACCCGCCCAGACGCCTTCCTGTGTAACCTCATCTAGGTGATCCTGCTCTGGCAAGGGGATTGGACTGGATGATCTTTTGAGGTCCCTTCCAATCCCTAATGTTCTGTGATTCTGTGTGATCCTGTGATTCTACTATTAATGTGCAACCCCCTAGATCACTCTTCCTGCTGAAGTTCTGGGGTACTGTCTTCCCTATTAGGTGATCTCTAAACAGTCAAAGAAATTTAAAACAACATACAGACTATCACATAATACTCTGCTCAAAACATTAGGGTTCATGCCTATCAAATGGGCTGATAGAGCTGTATTTTAATTCTTTTCATAACAAAGTTGTGCAGCTTCATCAGATGGATTTGATTCTCATCAAAACACCGCATGTTACAGAGTGTTCAATAATTAGACTACGCTCTCTTGCCAGAGAAACTGGCAGGGCAACCCTTCTTTTCTATCTACTGATCTTAATCACCCAGATTAAGTGCCATTAAGAGTAATTTCAAAGGATTATAACATACACTAAACTGGATTTGCTGGAGTTGGGCATATCTGCAGCATGTTAGTCAATTCAACGTGAAGCACTGCCCAGGATCTCCAAGACACAACCAACTTCAAGCCCTCCAAATCTGACATTACCAATAAATGAGACTAATTATTCAATGAGCAGATCTTCCATGAAAGTGGAACAAATCTCTCCTAATAACAAGGAAAGTAAAGCACATTAGAGGACAAGAAGATGAAAAGAGCCATTTTCATTCACATGGCTGTAGTCTGGAAGAATGCCTTTTACCACAGGAGCAAATGAGTCTCTAGAAAAGATTAAGCCAGAGATTAACCACTTGTTTTAACTACACTCACTCCTTGGTTTAGGAAAATTAGGTAATCTTCCAACATTTGGTTTTGAAAGACAATTTAAACTAAACTGTTACAGACTTAAGCCCACTGTCACAGATAGGAGGCTGCTGGCACCTACTCTATGCAGCTGAGCTGATACTAAACAGAAGTAGCCAGACCTATGAAGCCACAAAGAAGAAACGCATTAGAGAACAACTGTTCTTTGTTTTATTGAATGGCTGAAGCAGGGCTATAATCCAGGCATGTTTAAATCAAGTGTTGGTCCACTCATCATCAAAAAGAATTGATTTAGGTTTTTTCTAATAACATCAACACAAATGGAAGGAATACAAAGCATCATAACAGGAACTTTCAACTGAATGTGACAGTAGACCATGGTGCTACTTCAATATTTATAGACTCTCCAGTGTACAGACCAGCCACACCAGCGTCATTTACAAATCAAGAAAGCTCTAGGTGAAGGATCCTTCTGTCTACAGCTTACATCTGAGCCGTCAGCAAGAGATCAAAATGCCACTTGCACCACTAGAATCATAGTCTTGTAGAAATATTTCTATGTTTAGTATTTTACTAAAGAATAATTACTATCCTCTCTGAAGTTACATATAGCCATTATAAATATTTACATCAAACATTTACAACTGGTTCATAATGTACAACACAACAATTTAGCTATAATTTCTAATCTTCCAGTGTAAGAGTTTCACACACCATGTAGCTATCATAACTTCAATTTATCTCTTTTGCACATAGTCACAGGGAGTACAGGGCATTTCAAAAATTCAGGTTACATCATTAAAAAAATGGAATGATGCCACTTTAATAACAGTTTGGGGATTTTTTTCCCTTTTTTTTTTTAACAAGCAGATTTCAATTTCTAAATCCCATCTGGTGCTACTACTAACATTTAAAATAGGCTTGAGAGGGGAGAAAAAAAACAACTTATAAATAAATACACCTTTAAAAAATTTTCCACAATTAACCATGTCAGAACATTTATTTTCCACACAGTTTAAAGGAGACCTTAGTCGTCATCATTTCATTGCACTGAAATACAGCGTAGTTCAATCCATTCTTATCTTCTGATTTGTCATCCTATAAATAATGCTGTCGTACCCAGGATCCATGTTCCAGAGGTTGTAGGAGATAACTATCACAGCTAAAGCAAGACCTATCATCATCCACAGAATAATGTTGAAGATTACAGAGTAGTTGTAGTTATATGGATAGGCAAGGTTATATGGATTTTCTGTTTCACTCTGTAATAAAGAAAATAAGTGTATTACTTTAAGTTAGCTCACATACAAAACACATTATGACTGCTGAAAAATCTGAGCAATCTGGATGGGAGAGATACATTTTTGACTAGACAATAGCGATGCTAGGGCATGAAACACAAAAGTCATCATATGGCTGATATCAATGAAATCCCAAGGAGGCTGACAGGAGCCTCACAAAACTCAATGAGGACCAACGCAAAGCCCTGCACCTGGGACAGAATAACCCCGGGTGACAGCACAGGCTGGGCAGCAGCTCTGCAGAGGGACCTGCAGGTCCTGGTGGACGGGGTGAACAGCAGCCAGTGGTGTGCCCCTGCACTGCGCCTGGAGTGTAGGCAGCCAGGACAAGGAAAACAACTTTTTTCCCCCCACTCATGAGGCAGGACTTGAAGGCACTACTGTACTGGGGAGAAAACAGCAGAAATGCAAATCCTAACAAGACATAAGGGAAAAAGTTTTCACAGAGAAAGTGGTTAAGACTTTGGAAGAAGCTGTCCAGAGAGAGGCTTTGGGACTTCCAGCCACAGACTTCTCAAGAACTTGGCTGGACGAGGACCTGAGTGGCCTGATCTAACTCCTCAATTAACGCCGCTTTGAACAGTAGGTTGGACTAGATGACCTCCAGAGGCTCTCTTCAACCCAAATTACTGTATGATTAAGTGAAGATTGAGACAGGAAAGCTGACCTCCAAGCACCCATGCCTAAATCATAGTCAGTATTCTAGTCCTTAAAAAAATAAAAAAGTTATGCTCAAGTGCAGAAGTGATGCAGTTTGTATCTCTTTTAATAAATGATTTATAGAAAAATGTGCATCTACTACCTGTGAGGACTGGAGAATGGAGCGAGACTTCCTCATGAGGGGAGAATTAAATGCCTTCACAGCCACTACTTCTACTACTGCATTCCCGCTGTACAGATTAAACATCTCGTCCGCAAACTGGAAAAGCAAAAGTGATTGAATTTAAAACCTACACTGTAGCCAGAGAGTTTTGTTAGCAAGATGTATTAAACCATAAGATGTCAACTTCAGGAATAAGAAGCTTATGGAAAGTTGTAAAAGTTTACGCTATTTTAGGATTCCACTAAGAAAGTGCCAGCTTTCACCTGATTTACAACATCTCTTAAAAACTCCTCAACCACTTGTTCAGACGACCGTAGCTTACAATTGCTTTCTAGGCTGAAACATGGTCTGTCATCTTTTTCACAACAGGCCCATCACCACACAGTTTCCCAATTGTATGTCTGTCAGTTTCAAAATAACAAAAAAATACTTAGGTTCTCAACCTCCCACTGGGAAATTATGAACCTGAGTATTTTAATCTGGTCCAAAGACCAATATGCCTAGTATTTAAATCTATTTGCTTAACTGCAAAGAGGCCGAAGAGTAATGTTTAGAGAAAACAATTATTTGGCTTCGCAAATTCAGGCTTTGATGCTTTTCCATCATGCTTTTCACACAGAATGGTAGTGACTGGTCTTAATAAAGAAAGATTTTATCTAATGATTATATAAGACCTGCTAAATAATTACTTTCTTGAGCACATTGATAAGATGAACAGCAGTTACTTTAGAGATTTGGAAGTTTAGATTTGTACAGCTTTGTGGGCAAAGGGAAACTGTACTCTGGGATAAAGAGATTTCCACGTTTCTGAGAGCCAGTTTTTGTGAGACACACTGGTGCTTTTAAATGCAAGATATTTCTATAGGAAAAACAAACATATCAAGTGATGCTGATATATGGTTTCAATACATTCCCATTTCTTTATGCAAAATATCTAACACATTGTAGAATCACGTCAACGCGTTCCAGAGTGACAAACTGTAACACTGAGCAACTGCAACACTGAGCAACTGCATTTTAAAAACCAAACAACAAAAACAAGCATCACTAATGAAGTGACAATTCAAAGCAGAAGACAGTCAATAAACTAAGTGCCTTATAGTTAACAAATTATTTCCTTAGTACTCCTGTGAGTTCTGTTCGTTAGGTAGAAAGCATACCTTTTGCAAAGAGTCTACAAGAATTTCAGAAGCATCCTTGAACTGCTGGGAGTCTTCCCCATATCGTTTTCCAACCTCTTCCAAACCAGCCAGTTCCAGGGAATAGAGGTCTGGAGAATGATCTTTGGCTAAGTGCTTGTGTCGAGACAGCTTTGGCACGTCATCGAGGGCAGAAAGAAATTAGTTCATATACAGATTACTTTCAAAACACCTTTCACCAAATCAGTTTGCTGAGACTAATCCAGCCTCACTTTCCACAGTCATATTCCATACTGATTAGAAAGTGGAATTTCTTGCCAACTTAACTAGAAGATGTCCACAGTTGTTTGTTTTCTTACTCTACAGAAGAAAGCAGTTGATCATCATGTAGCATCTCTTCCTAACACGAGGTTATACACATGTATTATAGAGCTCTACTAAAAAGAAACATTGCATTTATACACATCAGAATCCTTGTTCCATAACTGACATAAAAATAAAACTTGGAGAAAAAAATTACCTAACTACAATACATGGGTATTACTATTCCCTCCACTGAAGCTGGCCCTTGCAAGACTGAGTAGGTTGCAACTTCTGCCTTGCTGTTACCCAGGTACAAAAGCGGTTTACTTAAGGAGTATAATCCCACTGTCATAAAATCCAACTGATATAATCCAAATTATCTCAAACGAGAGTAGTCACATTCTTGCACTTTTACAGGTGTGAAGCTGCAGCACTGACATTTGCCTGCACAAGAGAACAGTCTCCAAAAACAAGGACTTTAATCTGTTCCTATCTCCCAATCTACAGCATTTCTAGTCTCCAAGACAAAACCAAGTTGTTCTACCTCATTTCTTCAAGAGCCCCATTTCTCTTCACCAGCCTTTCACCTAATGTGAACTTCTGAGCTTTTCATGACTCTTTCTTTCACTTTAAGAAGCTGAGGGCTGCAGCCTGGAGGCAAACCAACCCAAACCAAAACACACAAACAAACAAACAAACACCCAACACACCAAACACCAAATCCCAAAACAAACCCTAACCCACAGCAACAGTAGTTTCTTAGTAAAAAACATAAGCCTATTGCTCAAAAAGACCAGAATGAAAAGCTCACCCCTCCATTAGAACATTTCTATCACCACCACTACTCACATTACAAAAGTCATCCCAGTCTTTTCAGATCAAGTGTTATGGTGCTATTTTGAAGTAAAATGGTGGACAGGGCAAAGAACATGTCCTTAGCTACCATTATACTTAAGTAAGAAAACAAGAAAAGCCCCAGCAAATTCTTCATCTAGTACTTCCCATGTCTTTGGGTATGGAGAAATAGCAGCTCAGAATTCCCCTTGTTCTCACCAAATGCAACACAAAAGAAACTACAGATGAGGAAGGTTCTCATCTTCCTCCATCAGTGACAGGGCTGATACAAATAGCTTGAGTATGCATTATTTACACTGATGCAACCAACTGATGACACACTTGAATGTCTATCACTGGTTGCCAAGTATCGTGGCTACGGCTTCTCTACCTTTAAAAGAGATCTCTGAAGTTTGTAACATAAGATCAGGAAGGTGTTTCCAAAAAAGTCTTACCAGGCTGGCAATATCATGTAGGACTTGTAGTTCTGACAGAAAAAGCAAATCAACCTGGGGGAAGAGGCAGGAAAAACAAGAGACAGGCATTTCCTTTGATGAAACCAAAGTTAGGGAAGTCTCATTTTGTTGCTAGTCTTGGTATTTCATAACAGGTTATGTCTGTTACAGCACCAGAACATGCTACATGTACTCTTTCAATAAGGTTATTTAAAAAGCTAACTTAAAACTTACTTCTTAGAATTTAGTTAGAAAAAATTTAGACCAGGCTCTCCTAGACAAAGCAAGAGGGAAGAGGGGAAAAAAGAAGGAAAAGCACAAGCCAACTAAGAACATTAGAAAAAGTAGTAAAAGCTCCCACCGACTACAGTTTTTTACCTCATTGTTTCTACTGAGGGAGTTGAGAGGAAGGGAGCTGAGAATGGAGTTGTCCTGGAATAAGCGGTTTCGCAGTTGGCGCAGTGTGACAGAAAGATCTTCAAATACAGAGTTTGCCTTGCCCACCATGTACACTCTCTGCAGGAACAGGCATTGTTTAATAAAAGCAGAGGTTAGTTTTCAGATTTTCCAGTCACACATTAATAATCAATCATACTTACAATCTCTCTCCAATGCAAAATATTTCATGTAATCGATCGGTTTTGCTCCAGCCACACAAGTGGAAAGAAGTTGACTATTCAGAATATCTGGAATCAAAAGTGAAGCAATACTCACCTCCTCACTGGGGGCCAGCTGCAAGACCACAGGAGTTTCCTCAGAGAACAAAGTGTGGATAGCATTTGCAACACTGTCAAGACTGAAAGGAACAGCCTGGAAGAAAAAGTCTAGTTAGATTTTTGGGTAAAACGAGGCCTAATGATGTAAAAGGAAATAATCTGATTAACTACAGCAGTCTGGAAAAACAGGACAATCTCTTATTTTTTTTTCAGCAAAGAGTGTGAATATTTCCAAAGTTATAACAACAAATCATAGGCAGCAATGTGCAAAACAAAGCATCCACTAGGTATCTACAAATAGACAACTTAGTTGTATATACGGCAGACACAACCTATTTTTAAGAACTCCCAGGAGCCATGACTGTGTATCTAGGAGGCTTATTTAAGCTAAATCTGTCAAATACTGGCACAGGTTGCCCAGAGAAGATGTGGAATCTCCATCTGTAGAAATACTCAAAACACAACTAGACGGAGTCCTGGAAAGCCTGCTCTAGCTGACCCTGCTTCATCAGGGGGTTGGACTAGACAATTTCAAGAGGTCCCTTCCAACATAAATGACTCTGTGATGCTGTGACAGGTGTGAGAAAAGTCTCAGCCAAGAGAGACAGTGACAGGTAAATGTAATGTTGTTTTCTTTTTGATGCAGTATAATCAAATGGTGTCTCAAAGTGCTATATTTCACATTCAAGTACTTGAAGAAAATTCAAAGACTGCTTAGAGGATGATACAGCATCAAAGAATCAACATCATATAAATTGCTACCACACACAGCTGAAGCAAAACAGTTAATTCTGACTACAAATCAGTAAGTTAACATGGGAAGGAGTGGACTCTGCCTCTTAGTACAAACACATTAAACTAGAGGCCTTTCAAGGAGAACAAGCTTTGGTCAAACGAGCTACTGAACTCAACACAGAAGGCCCTGGGTGATCTTAAAGGCCTCTCACCCTGACAGGGGTCTGATCGGATTATTTATCTATACAGCCTCCACCATCATTCCAGGGGATGTACAAACTTCAAGTCAACTCAGAAATAAGTGAATGCCAAGGACTACAGTAGAGCATCGTGTATTTCTCATTAGATCATGAGAGTCACAGAAATTGCGTCACAGTTCCAAATGTGGATACTCACATTCTCAATAGGGTAAGAGATTTTCTTCACAGGCAATGCCAGCTTGTCTACTCCCTTCACTGTTACCAGCACAGTAGCTCGTGGTCTGTGAAACAGATCACCCACTCCAAGCCCAGGCCAGGAAAGGTCCTATTAAAAAACAGTAAAAATCCTTGTATCCCACAGCGGGAAAGGGAGGAGCCCTCCCTCACCATTACAGCAAAATAACTTACTATCTTGTTAATATCTCTGTGCAGCACAGCCTATTGGAAATTTCATGGGGAAGTTAATACAAGAATTCTTCCACCTTCAATAACGTGGTCAAGTTAACCATGAAGAAACTCTTAGTTTAAAAACTGCCAGTAACTTCACAGCAAGGTCCACACTGAGAAAGCATTATACATATTGGATATATGAAGAGCTGTTTCCCATAATCAAATTAGAAATATCATAGTCTGTATTTAATAAGTGAAGGCTAAATTAAAAAAAAACAAAAACAAAAACACACAAAACAAACCCTTTCACACAACATCACAGAAACAGGTTTAGGCACATTGAAACACAAACATCTTGATTCTTTCAGTACCAGAAATGGGTCAGGGCAGGGAGAAAGGGAGGGAAGTGTCAACCAGCCTACTAATCTGAAACTTACAAATTTGCATAGAAACAAAGATTCTTTAGCAGCTGACTACAGTTATGTACTGGTAAGAGCACACTGAAGGCTACTGGCCTTGTTTATTCAGGCACAAAATACAAATTCATCTATTTGGAATGAATTTGTACAGATTTTTCCATTTGTGTAAAAGACATAATTGCTTAAGTTAAAGAAAACAAATATATTTGGATTTTAGAATTAAATGTCATTGACATCATGATCTGCATCATCTCAAAGAAACAAAAGAAAAACCTTTTAAAGCATCACCAGGGACAAAAAAAGGGTTCAGTTTTATCTTGCCTTAACAAGAGAAGAATACTGAACAACTGCTTTTGTGAATCCCAAACATAACGCAGTAAGAATTCTAAATTCTCTGCAAGGCATCTACTGCACTGTCGGTTTATGTTCCTGGCCTACAGCCTTGATGTACACTGCAAAATGAGTGTTTGGGCCCTGCAGTAGTTTCTATACCAGGGCTACTGCCTACACAGTGATCTCTGCCTTACTAACAGTGCTGACAACTTTCAGTTTCAGGGCTTAACTGAAGAGAATAATTTAAACACGTCCTTCTCTACCTGCTTCTAGGATTTGAAATAATACTAATACAATACTATTTCTAAAGGATGCAACAGACCCATCACAGCAAATTAATTCCAAACTTTGGCAAGGGCATAGAGTAATGAAATAGGGTTTTTTTTTTTCCATTATAAACATGTTATAGCTCCAGATGACCAGTATGTCAAAAAGCAAATGTTGAAAATGGGCCAAAACCCACTGTTTCGCTGGGTGTCTTTACATGCAATGCACACAATACCATCTGATGTATTGGTTTTTTTCTTGATAAAATAATCCAAATATACTTCTTAGGAATACTGCTCATAAGGATTTCTGTCACTGGCTTAATGACAAAAAACACATTTTCAGACAAATTCCAAAACACAGGCTAAACAGACCTGCACTCAAGCCAGACTGATCAGACCTCTTGCTTAGCTTCATTACGGAAGTAACGGGAACCAGGCTCCCTCATCAGCACTGTGAGATTTTCCCAGCTTGTAGCTTTGAGTATCTGGCCACAGACAGACACTGCTAGAGATGCCTGGCTATTAAGCTTTCCCATACTGCTTCAACAGCTATTCGTACCTGCTGAAGCCCAGCAACAACTTCAGTCAGCAAGATGGAATCAACCCAAGGGCTCCTACTCACATGCCCCACTTTAAACATCACTAAAGCTATGTTCAAAATCCCTATCTGGGAAATATTACCACAAATTAGATTTTCGAGTCTTTGGATTACTTGCTAACTATTGGGTTTATTAATTCTTATTAACTATGCTCAGCAGACAAGCTTGCCACCCTGCCAAAATGCCTGCCTCGCCAAGCCATTTCTCATACTCTTCAAAGTGCCCAAGAGCAGATCCCTGCAGATAGAGCTTGTAGGCAAGAAATGACAGTGGTTTCCACAGATTCTCAGTATGTGACTATGAATGAGGGTGGATACAGCACATAGTTAGATCTCAGAGGAACTGAAGAACATCACAGTGAAGACTCCACGGCCTTGCTTCCTTCTGTAGCTGATGATTCAAATTTGCTGCTCATATGACCGATATAGCTCTATGCTTGGAAACCACACTTTGACAAGTCATGCATTCCTCAAGACAAACAGGATGGTATTTTATATATTCCAGCACATGACAAGAAGATTTGCACGTTAAGTGAGAAGGTCTGTAGTTTTACAGGCATTTCAAAATCAAGATCTGCAACATACATCTTCAATAGAAAAGCCCATGGATAATGCAGCTACATCTGGGATCCGCTCGCCAGGAATGGGCCAACTTCCATCTCGAAAAATAACTGACTGAGGTGATCGCAAGATGCTAAATTCATCACCACATACACCTAAAAACAAACAAACAAAAACAGTTGTCAAAGTTTCCACAATCTTTTCCCTGCATCACAGAAAAAGAGCGCATTAGAGCTTACTAAGATTCCCTATTCCTCCCCCTCAGACTTACCAGTTTACGTAATACAAGTAATGAGAACCAATCATTTTAATGCCCTGGAATACAAAATAAGGTTTCTGTACAGCAATGACTAAGGAGGGACAAATCCACATTAACAAAAGCAGTACAATTATTCAAGCAACAGCACAATACACTTCTGCATACGCACTACTAGGTTGTGAGCGATGTTACAGTTCAGACCTAGCAAAGCTAACTCTTGATAGAGCCAGCCAGACTCCAAAATCCTGTTAGCTCACAAGCAGCTATGCACCAACACAGCTCCGTCTGCTTCCAGGACTGCTTGGCATAACACCCCTTTTCATGCAGACAACAGCCTGAGCCACTGAACCCAGAGCCAGGAGGACCAGAAGAGTCAGTGCTGGCTTAAACAGAGCACTGCCAGGAACAATCTGGCTGCTGCAGAACAGCTCCGGTGGCTCTGCTCTGCCTTCTCAACCACATGACATTGCAAGACACTTCTCTTCCTCAGATGCGGTACTGGACCTAAGCTGACTGTGTGAAGCCACAACCTGCAACACTGCACACCTGCAAACTCATGTCGGGTTTTCTCTTTTTTGTAATGGCCCCACTCCCTCTGTTCCCCATTACCATGAATAGCAAAGATGACTACAAGCATTATTTATGATATGTATTATGATGACAGTAATTTATTATGTAATAAAGTCAGAGAAGACTCCATGAAATAAGAGGCGGGTTTATTTCAGTCTGGCTTCCTTCTTTAAAGTCGCTTAAGTATAACTGCAAAACTGCATGCACAAACATTTATCTAAATAAATTTTAAAACATATTTGGTGTATATAAACAGCACATCCGCAACGCAAAACTTCAGACATATCCCCCCAATAAGCAATCTGCATACGTTTCCTCCTGAAAACTAATCTGATGCGAGACTTGAGAAAAACAAGTAGGAGAACAAGAAATATTTGCAGGCCATCTAAGTTTAATTATATAATCAGTCTGACTACACACTCCAAAATTACATGAGTAAGATAACCTTCTGAAAAAAAAAACCAGAAGTATTTACTCATACAATCACTGAAAATTAGTTACCAATCCAAGCAGCCATATAAAATAGTTTTCCAGGGCATCTACAAATCTAAAGGCTATTTACAAAAATAATGCTATAGTAAATTGATGTGTTGTGCACTTATAATCTTCCCTAACATTAATTTAAGCAATATGACCTTGAAGATGCTGTTTTAAAACCTAGATCATGACCACGCATACTAATGTTGACAGTAAATCTGAGCTGTATGATGATAAACATACTAAAGGAACAAAGTACTGCGATGCAGGTCGGGGAAGCGTGGCAAAAAGAAGGAAATGGGCCAGCCAACAGATGCATATGGAACAGGCTCGAGCACTTTTTGTTTTAAATTGATATGTATTCATTGGATGGCCTGCTATCAATTTTAATGGTGTATCAACCCGTATCTGGAAGAAGATAAATGTTTCCAGACTAATTTGCTTAGGAATTTACAGAATTGCTACAAACATTTTTGCTCAGTCTGTAGGATTTCATATGTTGCTTCAGTTTTTCAAAAGCCTATGAGACAGTCACACACGCTACTTTAGGACAAGCTAGCTTACTTGGGACAACGTTGCTCAGGTGAACAGAATTAGAGCATTACCCTTTTTAACCAAATTTGCCTTGCTAGGCTTGTCCAAGGTCCCAACGAGCAAAACAGAATTTGAACCTCGGAACACAAGCCTCTTCCTCAGACACGATGTAACTGCTTGACCATGATACTCCACTGGGCCTCATGTTCAGTGAAGCCTAGAGAATAAATTCTGAGATGCAATTCATCCTGCATACTGTTATCCAACCACCTACAGAAAACTTAACCAAACTTTCACCTCATCAAAGCTGTACCTCAGGAGAACTTTGGCTCTCAAAAGTCTTTGTGAAGCTGGAATACAGAACTAAGGTATACTGACTGAAAACTGTTTACGGGGCCTGGAAGCCTTAAGTGCAGAGCAGAAGCCTGACTCACTGCAAATGACAGAAAGCCCCTAGCAGCTGCAAAAGTAGCTCAGCAAAACATGAAAATCTGTACAAGGTAACAAAAAACCTAGATGATCTTTAAGGTCCCTTACAACCCAAACCATTCTGTGACAACGACACGTACCTATAAACGCTCCACATGGCCCTTTTTGCTGGGAAGGGAGAGGGAAGGCTCCTAGCACCAGCACTAGAGCAACTGGGGTGGGTGAGGAGAAGAGGGGCAGGCAGGGAGCGGCAGCCGCTGCTCAAGGGGCAGCGGTTCCTTCCCACCTCTCAGGCCTGAAGCTGGTGGGCACACACCCACCCCCTACACTTTCCCATACCCCGAGCGGTGCCCAGGGGTGGGAGAAGCCCCGAGGCCAGCTGCGGGTGCCGGGGGCCGGGTGGAGGTTCGCCTAAGACCCCCCCCGGGGTCACACACACCCCCTC